AATTTACCAATAAAACAATGACAAAATAGCATCAAAATTAAGAACAAAATCCTAATTGAAAGAAGATGTCTTCCGTGTCTCATATTGTACAATGACTTTCCTATATATAGTCATACAGCTCAATACCCTAACTATATACAATTAGGAAACTAATCTATATAAATCATATCAAACTAATTATACCAACAGAATATTACATATTCTACTACACCCCCGCAGTCTTAGGGTTAGAAGGACTACACCCCCGCAGTCTTAGGGTTAGAAGGACGAACACTAAGACTGGCTCTGAAATCTTCGAAGAGAACTTTAGGCAAACTTTTGGTGAAGATATCAACAATTTGAAACCCGGAGGGGAGATGACTTACACGGATTTCGCCCTTCTGAACCTTTTCGCGAACAAAATGTATGTCCAATTCTATATGTTTAGTTCTTTGATGTTGTATCGGATTGGCTGATAAGTAAACCGCACTTATATTGTCACAATGAACTAAAGTAGCCTTCGGAATGGGACAATGAAGCTCTAACAACAAATTTCTTAACCAACAGGACTCGGATACAGCATTTGCAACACCCCTGTATTCAGCCTCCGCACTAGATTTGGAAATAGTAGGTTGGCGCTTGGAAGACCAAGATACAAGATTATTGCCAAGAAACAAACAGTAGCCCGATGTTGAACGGCGGGTATCCGGACAGCTGCCCCAATCAGCATCAGTATAGGCTAGAAGAGTGTTTATAGTAGATTTTTGCAAATGTAAACCATAGTCTAGCGGACCTTTGATGTATCGCAATATCCGTTTCAAGGAATTCATGTGGCTTTCAGTTGGAGAATGCATAAAGAGACAAACTTGCTAGACCGCATACGAAATGTCTGGCCGCGTGAAAGTCAAATACTGAAGAGCTCCTACTGAAGAGCTCCAAGCTAGTTGGCGGTACTGGCCTTAGAAATCAGACAATGGTATACCCGGTGGAGCTCAATTTTTCCTTTGGTATCAACAGGTGTAAAAACTGGACTTGCAATTCATCCCTGCTCTTTCTAAGATATCTTCGGCATACCTCTTTTGAGAAAGAAAAATAGCATTTTTAGAATGAGTAACAGCAATCCCCCAGGAAATAATGTAAGCAACCCAAATCCTTCATTGCAAATTCTTGTGCCAATAGATTTATTATTTTCTTTCGAAAAGCTATAGAGGAAGCAGTGAGTATGATGTCATCCACATAAAGTAACAAATAGGCAATGTCAGCATTATGGCAATAGACAAATAAAGAAGTATCAACTCGGCTTTGTTTAAAACCAAGAGTGGTGACATATTCTGTAAACCGTTGATTCCAAGCTCGGGGGGCTTGCTTAGTAAACCGTTGATTCCAAGCTCGGGGGGCTTGCTTAAGGCCATAGAGAGATTTCTGTAATAAGCAAACATGATCAGGGTGACTTGAATCTCTAAATCCCTGCGGTTGATGCATATATACGGTTTCAGTGAGGTTGCCATGAAGGAATGCATTCTTGACATCTAGTTGATGTATTTGCCATGAATTAGCGAATGCAAGATTAAGCACAGTTCTGATAGTAGCAGGTTTCACCACAGGACTGAATGTATCAGCACAATCGATTCCTTCACGCTGAGAACGATCATCACCTATAAGACAAGCCTTATACCTTTCAAATGAACCATCAGAATTTAGTTTATGCCGAAAAATCCACATAGATCGAATAACATTGACTTTAGGAGGACGAGGTACTAAAACCCACGTCTTATTCTTAAGGAGAGCCTTATATTCCTCAATCATGGGATTTTTCCAATTCAAATCATGAAAAGCTTGTGTTGGATTTTTAGGAATGGGAGATGTTGGATTTTTAGGAATGGGAGACAGAAGCAACTTGTCAACATGATATGAGTGTTGATATTTAGTATTGGGTTTGACAATTCCATGTTGACTCCTAGTTACCATTCGGTTTGGAGGTGGAATAGGTGAAGGAGGTGAGTGAGAAGACTGTGACTCGACAATGGAGGAAGTAGAACCGGCTGGATTACTTTGAGAGTAAATACGATGGATTTCTATTGGTGTTAAGGTGTCATCGAGAAAATCATAGGAGGTAGAACATGGGAGACAGACAGTAGAGAATGGAAACTGTTGTTCATCAAATTTAACATGGCGACTAAGAATGATTTTTCCAGAAGACATATCAAAACACTTGAAGCCCCTGTGACAAGAGGAATTTCCCAGGAATACACAAGGTAAGGATCTATTTGCTAATTTATGAATAACAGATGCAGGACACAGCGGAAAACAAAGACACCCAAAAACCTTAATGTTTGTATACGAAGGAATTTTGTGATACAAAACTTGAGTTGGTGACTGAAATCCTAATATTTTGGTGGGTAAAATATTATGGATATATGTAGCATGGTGAAGAGCATGATGCCAATACTGATGTGGTATGGAGGAATGGGCTAGAAAAGTGCGAATAGCATTATTAAGTGTTCAGATTTTTCTCTCAGCTTTACCATTTTGGAAAGAAGTATAGGGACAAGAAAAACGAAATGTTATCCCATGCTGAATACAAAATTGATGCAACAATTGGTTATCATATTCCTTGCCATTATCACATTGCAATTGTTTAATTGAGGTTTGAAATTGTGTGGTAACAAAAGCATGAAACTGAATAAATTTCCCAGTAACCTCAGACTTGCGTGAGAGGGGAAAAACCAAAGGAAATTCGAAAAATCATCCAGAAATAACAAATAATATTGGTGCCCTGAAGAACTAAGAACTGGTGAACACCACAAATCACTATGAATTATTTCAAAAGGTTTATGAGTAACATTAAATGAATCCTGAAAAGGCAACCGAACAAATTTACCAAGAGGGCAAGAATGACAAAATTCTAACTTGTCCTTGTTACAATCAATCAATTTATTTTGTCTAAGAGATTGAAGAATGACTTTGCTAGGGTGACCCAAACGAGCATGCCAAAGATTTGGCGAAACAGCAGAGAAAGCAGACTCATGACCAACGCTAGGAAGATTGAAAGGATATAAATCGCCAGAACTCTCACACCGCAGAATTTTATTCCCCGTCGAAAAAACCTTCACAGAAAACCCAAACGGATCAAACTCAATAGACACCTAATTATCAGTTGTAAATTTACGAACAGAAATAAGGTTTTTAATCATGTTTGGAGCATGCAAAACATTACGAAGGTGTAAAGTGGGATTAGAAGGAGACAGCTGAACATTACAATGACCTTGAATTGGAATAATATGCCCATTACCAACAACAATACCATCTTTGCGGCTCAATTTAGAATAATAGGTGAGCGTACCTGGATTTGCAGTCATGTGAGAAGTGGCAGCTGAATCCATATACCATTGTCCTTCCGGCGACTTTAAAGACATGTTGTACAAGGCCTGTTCGATATCAGTCGGAGCATATTCAGTAGACTGAGATGGGGCAGCAGCAGTGTAAAAAGATTGCTGTGAAGGATGAGACCCTAAAAGTCCTTACTGCGGTGCTCGCGGTGGATGTTGAGGCTAAGGATTTGTTGGATAGGGACATGGTGGCGCCATCCACGGCTGTGATGGGTACCAGCCATTCCACGAAGGGAAATTCCAACTAGACGGCGACATGTAAGAAGGAGGCTGCGGATAAAAAAATTATTGTGAGTTCCGAAAATTGCCTCGACCCCCACCAGAATTCAAATGATTCTGATTAGTCTGATACCCACGCTGATTATTACCACGTTGTTTCCCTTGCCGCCGTTTGCCTTTGAAAGTGGCTGGCACTGGAGCCGGATCCTTGTAAGAATCAGATGGAGGATTAGTAGCAGCAGTCCGCATAAGCAACGCAGTATTATTCGTTGCCTCTGATTTAGCACGTTCGGCTTTCGTAGTCTCATCCAAAATAAGCATAGAACAAGCTTGTGCAAAGGTAGGCATAGGTGTCCTTCATTCCAAAAGAAGCATAGAAATAAGCTTGTGCAAAGGTAGGCATTAGGTACTTTGTTCTGACAACAGTAACAAAACCATCATACGTCATCGGTAAGGCCGGTGAGGAGTCGAAGAACCATCCTCTGATGCACTAAACACTTTTGATCACATTGGCTAGTTGATCACCAAAACTTCAAAGACGACCGAGTGTAAACGAGTGTAAGCCTTTGCGTCCGGAAAATCTCTCAGATGAGTATTGGCGAACTCAGTTTCGAGATGAACTGCACGAGCAGTTTTATTATCCTGGAATAAGTTGGCAAGATGATTCCAGGCATCAAGTGCAGTATCCTCTGGATTTATAAATGACTTATTATGCTCTTAAACTTGCAAATTTTGATAATACTATATACTCTTTCATACTAATAGCAATAGATTTTATTATTTTTATGTTTATAAGCAAAATATTGATTTAGTATGTAGATAGCATAACTCCTGAAATATTAATTTTCACATTTTCAACTATTTAATAGATGTTTAATAAATCTAATTTTTTTGCAAGTTGAAGTGTTCAATCAAATAATTCTGCAAGTTATGATAAGTCATAGTAAAAGTTGGATGTGCCATCACATCAAAGTAATAAAGTTAAGGGATGAATTTATGTATTTCGACTTGTTTTTTTTTGGAACAAATGCTAATTTGATCTCTAAACTTATTTAGCAAGGCCAAAAGATCTTTTGGGCCAATTTAGCCCTTAAACTTGTATAAAATGATTAAAAAGATCCGAATTCACTTTTTCGGCCAATTTAACCCTTGAACTTGTATTGATTTTTATAAATTAGTAATTGATTTAATTTAACATGATTGATGACTCAAAATATCAAATATTATTTTTTAATCATTTTAAATAAGTTCAGGGGTAAAATAATTAGACTAAAAAGTGAAATTAAATCTTTTTAATTATTTTAAGGATTAAATAAATAAGTTCAGGAACGAACTAACATTTATTGTTTTATTATTATTATTATTCACACGCCCTTTACTTCTTCCCTACTTTTCATATTTTTTTTTTTATTCCTATATAAGAAAAAGAAAACGTGAAAATAGAGTAAAGTAATAATGGGAGTACGAGAAGTCATGGAAGAAGTGATTGCTGAACTCAGTGCCAAAGAAGAAGTAAAAACTGTTATGGAAGAAGCAATCAGTAAACTCACTATCAAAGAAGAACAAACAGGTGAGGAATTTCTCTGTCTTTACCTCTCGTTCTCTCAAAATTGCGCACATATTTAAAAACAATCAGAGATTGATGCTAAATGTTGCTTATGATTTTGATGTTTAATCAACAGAAATAATAAGGGAACTAAGGGATCGTCCACCAGCTCACTATCTGTTTAAGATCGAAAACTTCTCTAAACTTTCTGACGCAAAGGTCGAGAATTTTCAATCAAGTGATTTTGAAGTTGGCGGATACAAATGGTGGGTTTTAATTTTAATTCCACTTTTTTTTTTTTGGCTAATAGGAGCTAATAGGGTTTAACATGTACTCTGCTAGTGGATTACTAGCCAAACAGCTTAGGCTACGTTTGGTTAGCCATAATTTAACTTAATGTAATGTAATCAAAGGGATTCTAGAATCTAGAAATGCCTTTGCTTACATTATTTATTTTATTGCTCTTGTTTCACCAATATGCTGAGTTGCTATATATCACTCTACTAGAGTAGGTTAATACCAATATGCTGAGTTGCTATATATCACTCTACTAGAGTAGGTTAATATTTTTTTTTTCTTTAAGATATTGCTCAGTTGCTGCTGATGTATTGTATAATGTAAAGAAATTACTGTATTATATTTTTCTTTCTGATTATCTAATTTATGCAATGCAGTTACATTTCTTTTTCAAAAATTTCTATAATTAGACTTTCAAAATACGATTTACATATTGTGTGGATCAAATCAATGACGACTTCCAAATGAATTTCGATTGACACCAAACATGAAACATATGCATTTACAAATAAATATTTTAAAAGTTTATGAAATTCATTTATGTCATAAAATATGTTTATATTATAATTATAAATACTGTTAACTTTTTGTATTTGTTTGTTTAATGTTTGTATTTGAACATTCATTTCTGGCATTTGATTGCCATAATTTTTGTTAGGCCAATGAGCACTGCCTAACATTTTTCACTATTTTTTTGGTGCAGGAGGCTGTCTCTTTACCCTGAGGGAAATAAGAAAAAAAATGAGGGAAAAATTTTCACTATTTTTTTGGTGCAGGAGGCTGTCTCTTTACCCTGAGGGAAATAAGAAAAAAAATGGAGATAAACACCTATCTCTATATTTAGCACTATCCAATTCAAATAGATTACCCTTACATAGTGAGGTTAATGCTTTCTTCAAGTTGTTTGTTTATAATCAAATTGAAGATAAGTATTTGGCTGTTCAAGGTACTATGTAGTTGACTTATACATACTCTGCCATAATTCAACTGTTATCTATGTTCATCAATTTACTGATTTATCTATATGCTTTGATCTTTTGGGTTAGATGGTAAGGAAACAGAAAGGCGTTTTCGTGGAATGAAAACAGAATGGGGTTTTGACAAATTTATTTCACGTGATGCTTTTAATGATGCTTCAAATGGATACCTTATTGATGATTGTTGTGTATTTGGAGCTGAGGTTTACATAATGGAAAAATGTACTACATAATGGAAAAATGTACTGGTAAGGGTGAGTGCATGTCTATTGTGAAGGAGCTTTCTAACAACACCTTCACTTGGAAGGTTCAAAGTTGGCAAAGCAAAGAAAATCATAAGTCCCAGGTGTTTGACATTGGTGGGCATAAATGGTAAGTAAAGAAGTGTTTTTCAGCTTCAAAATTGATATCAAATAACTTCATTATTGCAATGAGCCATAATTTATGTCTTTTCAATTTCAATTAGGAGTTTATCCCTTTATCCCAATGGGAGTGGAACAGAGAAAGGCAAGAGCTTGTCCATGTTTTTATACTTACAAGATTCAGTAACAAAGATTAATGCTGAATACATTCTGCGTGTAAGGGATCAACTTTCTGGAAAACATCAAGAAAAGAAAGGTGAGAGCCGTGGGCCCAAGAATAATTTATATTTCTCATATATTCCAGCTTATAGTAAATTCTATAAGATTTTATAAGAGGTTAATAAGAAAGGTGGGTAGAATTTGGAGTCTATTGGGTCGAAGATGCTTTGATACAATATAAACTATAAAGAAACCATTAACCTAAAAGCTTGAACTTATAGGCAAGGATTCAATAATAGTTTAATTGCTAAATATTCCTCTTCTTGAGCAACGTAACCAATGTGATATATAATGAACAGAAAGCCTGTTTCTATTTCAAAAACATTGTTTACTTCAGTTTTTGCTGGTTAACTTCATTGTTTCTGATGTTCTGTAGCTACAAATCAATTCGGTGCTGAATCCAACAATTGGGGTTACCTTGATCTACTTCCACTTAGAGATCTCAATGATACATCAAAGGGATTCATAGTCGGTAATGCCATGATTGTTGAAATCCAAATGCTTTTCATGACATTGGTCAAGGAGTTCTCTTGAAGCTATTGTTTCCAAGGAGTTCTCTTGAAAGCTATTTGTGTACTAGACTTTTACCAGTTCTCTTGAACGATATTGTGGTACTAGACGTTTGCCTTTTGACCTACGAAAAAAAAAAAAAAAAAAACAAATGCAATTAGCTAATTAGAAGATATAAATTTGTTAGCTAAACTTGAATGTTTTTGAATTGAAAACATGTTGTCTTCAGTTAGCTAAACTTGAATGTTTTTGAATTGAACATGTTGTCTTCAGGTTGGATGTTCCTATTTACTGCTTCGTAATATGTTACAGACAATACTCCTTTTCTTGCAGTGGCGGAGGTTTTAAACTTAGTCAACATTGCATTTTTGTTTTTTTGTTATATATATATATCGCAATTTCTTGTTCAAGCATATGCTGCATTAATAGTAATTTATTAAAATTAAATGTTGTTTTATAAATTAGAGATTGATGACAATTCAAAGTTGCATATTTTTGACTTTGATAATGAAATATATATAATGTTAAATCAAATTTTTATTTAAACAATCATTGATATTTTCTTTTAAAAGTAACTTATGTCCTCATATGATCTGTTTCTATCTTTAGAATGCTGACATATGCATTACAGAGTTATTTTTGGTATGATTATTCATTGAATCTGAATAATATTACAACTTGTTAGTTTCTTCTGGTATGCTGACATGCATTAGAGAATTATTTTTGGTATGCTGACATGTGGGTTAATTTTATTGTTTCTTCTGGTGTTCTGTAGTTACTCATCAATTCTGTACTAAATCCAATCACTGCAAGAAAATAGAGATTTAGCGACAAAAAATACCGACAAAAAATTTTGTAGGTATTTAGTGATAAAATACTGACTAATACCGGCAAAATGTAAATTATTAAAATACCGACTAATACCGGAAAAATGTAAATTATTGAAAATTAGTATTATTTGAGAAATATTACGACACAATTTTTAGGTATTTCGTCGCTAATTAGCGACAAAAAAGTGATTCTCCCTAATATATTGATACTAAATGCGCCAAATAACAGCGCCTTGATTTACCGTCAAAATTCGAACAACAATAGCCATAAACTTTAATTCATTAATCACCAACAAAATATTTTGACGATTTTTGTTTTTTACCGACAAAATAGCTATAAATTTTTTTTTATCGGTAAACTGTTTTAAAATATTTCAAAAATAACAATAATATTAGGGTTAATGTAATTATGTGGCGCCCAATTCTCAATTTCCCTCCTTTCCTCTCTTTTCTCTGGTTCCCGTTTTCCCTAATCCGAAACCTAGCTACAGCCACGATTATTGTGTCCTTGAGGTTCTGTTTAGATGCAGCCAAGCAAATGCAATACAAAGGGTACAGTTTGCACGTGGACAAACACATTTTGCACCAAAACTAGAGTTGGTATCCAAAACCTGTTATTTCATTGAGAAATTTTATCCAAAACCTGTCAATGGCTGCACAGGTTTATTGCAAGGTCCAAAGATACTCGACATTTCTTTTCTTAAAATTTTGCAGATTCATGACATGAACTGAAGACTCAAGCAATCATAATTGCTGCACCATTTGCATAATCAGGTATGTATCTATTTATACAAACTTCATTTTAATATATCACATGTAGTTTAATATATATGCATGTATTGTATTGTTCAATTTTGGCAATAGTCACTACGTTTCTGCGAGAGGATTAGCTCTCTTTTGTAAAAAAATGACAAAATTTGTACTATTTAGTTTCTTCTGTCATCCACAATCTAAAGGATACTGATCAGAGATAGATGTATAACAAACTCATGCCAACTTGTGTGTTTTGAACTCATCATCCCATGCATCACCAAAATGCAAGTTGGAAAGTTCTTCCAAAGGTTTCATAATCTCTTCTGAAAAGTTATACTTTACTCATCTAAATTAAGATTTAATTTATTAATTAAAATGCTGCAAGAGACAAACTGTTAAAGCATTTAAAGCAATTGTTGCACTTATAAAACCTGACCCATCAGGGCTCTTTATGTCATCATGCAAAAACCAATCAACTGCAAACTAGCAGCAGTGAATGCTGAGTTAAAATAAAATAATTTGAGAATGATGTTTGTTTGATGGGTTAATGTTATTTCACTTTTAGACAAAAAATAAACAAGTAGGGCAATTATATGCTTGCTTATATACTTAGATTCTTTGATTTCAAAAAATGCAAATGATCAAAGATTTTAATACTGTTTGTAGAAGTTACCAAGACTTAATCAAAACTCAAGGCTCTTGTGATTTTGCTGGCACTGCTACCAGTTCTGCATCTGATCCTAGTAAGCCATTGCTGAAACAAGGCATGTTTTAGTATTCCTCTGATCCTAGTAAGCCATGTTTAAGTGAAGAGACAAGGCACCGATTTTTTTTTCTTACCCTTTTATTTTCTGTGATTCTTGCAGGTGTTAGTGGCTGTTATTACCCAGCTACTGTCAGGTATGCTGAGCCTTTTAACATTGTCTTTGAGATATTTGCTACTACTCTACAATTTTAATTTTTCTGGTTTGGTTGATGTGTTTTTGGTTTCTCTTTCCCTTTTTATTTAAGCATAAAATTTATTGATTAAAAAAAAAAGCATAAAATTTATTGATTAAAAAAAAATTGATTAAAAAAAAATGCATGCTGTCAAAATAAGACAGCCTTTGGTTAGTTGGCCTTACTGAATCCAAATAGTTTAAAATTGGAAGAATATACCATTAATTTGTGGGAAATTGAATTTCTTGGCGATAACCCCTTTATTTAAATATAAACTTATTTTATATTAATTAATTAAAAACAATAAAATAGCACGAGTATACTAGACAGAACATTAGCTTATTTTATAAATGTGTGACATGTATCTAAACTTTGATTTATTATATTATTTATATATCTTGGAAGCATAAGAATATTTTATTTATTTTTAATTCTTTTGCTTTTCTAATACTTTATTTGTAACACCCACCGGCTAATCCCAGAAAACCAGACGACGGATGCCACATTATTGCTTTTCTTCTTATTATTATTATTAAGCATAAATAGTTTCCTTTGTAATATAGTTTGATTGTTTTAGAAGACTTGATTAGATATTAATATATTAGCTATTAAGGAGACTTGATTTCTAATTGTACTTGGCGCTTTGTAGTATTGTTATGAAAACCTAAATAATTGTCAACCAGGTCAGTATGAGTTCAAATCGACTATGGATGTACCAACGACTTGAGGCTTGAGGACGATTTTTTAAGACCTGGATTCGCAGACTGACAATTGGGTCTGACTGGCGTTTTAATGCATCTACTATTACTGGATTTCGTGCTGATCGTACTATAAATGATGCGGAGGATGATCGAGATGAGAGCCTTAATTAGTAGCCATCATAATAAACTAGTATTATCTCTATTTAAACATTTAAAACATATTAACATTTTTAAAACATATAACTAAATGTGGAAGACTTTTTTTTTTCCTTCCTTTATCTTTCCTAATTTTATACAGTATTGAACATCGTTTGCTGAATCTTAATTTCGAATTAATTTACGAGATATTATAAATATATTGCAAGTGTATTATGGTATATGGTGTTGAATTGGAATTGTTAATAATTAAGGGTTTTTGATGCTATATTAAAACATGTTAATTATGCAAATTTAGGCAAAATTTTTTAATTTTTTTTATGAAATTAGCGACAAAATAGCGTTAAATTAGCGACAAAATAAATTATTTTATTGAAATATATATTAAATTTAACGACAATTTACAGATAAAACAATGACAAAATAGCATCAAAATTAAGAACAAAATCCATATAAAATAGCTATAAAATTTGTCTACTTTCTAAATATAATTACCGACGGAAAATAATTAATTTAGCGACAAAATTTTTATCGACAAAATATATTTTTGTAGCTAAAAAATAGGGATGAATTTATGTATTTCGACTTGTTTTTTTTTTTTTTTTTTTTTTGGAAAATAAAAGGCTAATTTTGATCCCTGAACTTATTTTAGCAAGGCCAAAAGAGCTTTTGGGGCCCAATTTAGCTCTTTGAAACTTGTATAAAATATGATTAAAAAGATCCGAATTCACTTTTTCGGCCAATTTAACCCTTGAACTTGTATTGATTTTTATAAATTAGTAATTGATTTAATTTAACATGATTGATTTTTTATTTCTTTTTGTCATACACTAAGAACGCGCATATCAAAATTTTCCAACACTTATGAATATAAATTTAAAATCCACAAAAATATCATTTCTTGTTATATAATAAATTTATAAACATGTATTATAACTTTAATTTATTCAACATAAAAAATGCATAGATTTCATAATTTTTGATCAACCAGTAATAGAGGTTAATTTTAAAATGTTAAAAAAAATAATCAAAACCATCAATCAAGTTAAAAGGAGATACAATATATTTATTCAATATGAAAAAATGCTAGATTTTCATTAATTTTTGATCAAACTAGTAATGAGGTTAATTTTAAAAATGTTAAAAATAATCAAAACAATCAATCAAGTTAAAAAGATAGCAATATATTTCATATATTGGTTTTTTTCTATATTTTATAATTAATTAATTTTTAAATAAATTAAATCAGCTCAATCCTAACTACAATTTTAATAACTATTTATATAATGACTCATATTGTAAGTATAATGAATAAGTAGAGGTAAATTGGCTCAAAATATCAAATATTATTTTTTAATAATTTTAAACAATTTTAAAAATTTAATAGTTATTTAATAGGTAAATAAGTTCAGAGGTAAAAGAATTGGACTAAAAAGTAAGATAGAATCTTTTTAATTATTTTATATAATTTCAAGAACTAAATTGGATCAAATCTGAACTTTATATAATTATTTTATATAATGAATAAGGCAAATGACCTTTATTGTTTTATTATTATTATTATTCGCACGCCCTTTACTTCTTCCCTACTTTTCCTTTTTTTTTTATTCCTATATAAGGAAAAGAAAACGCGAAAACAGAGTAAAGTAATAATGGGAGTACGAGAAGAGTACGAAAGTCATGGAAGAAGTGATTGCTGAACTCAGTGGCCAAAGAAGAAGTAAACACTGTTATGGAAGAAGCAATTCAACTAAACTCACTATCAAAGAAGAACCAAGGAGGTCAGGATTCTCTGTCTTTATCTCTCGGTTCTCTCAAAAAATTGCGCTATATTTAAAAATAATTCGAGATTGATGCTAATTGGGTTGCTTTTGATTTTTGATGTTTAATCACAGAAATATAAGGGAACTAAGGGAATTGTCCACCTTCTCACTTATCTGTTTAAGATCGAAAACTTCTCTAAACTTTCTGATGCAAAGGTCGCAGACATTTTCAATATCAATGATTTTGAAAGTTTGGCGGATACAAATGGTAGTTGGCGGATACAAATGGTGGGTTTTAATCTTAATTCCACTTCTCTCTTTTTTTTTTTTGCTAAAAGGAGCTATTAGGGTTTAACTGCATGTACTCTACTAATGGATTACTAGCCAAACAGCTTAGGCTACGTTTGGTTAGCCATAATGTTACTTAATGTAATGTAATCAAAGGGATTCTAGAATCTAGAAGTGCCTTTGCTTACATTATTTATTTTGTTGCTCTCGTTTCTCCAATCTGCTGAGCTGCTATATATCACTCTACTAGAGCAGGTTAATATTTTTTTTTCTTTAAGATATTGCTCAGTTGCTGCTGATGTATTGTATAATGTAAAGAAATTACTGTATTATATTTTTCTTTCTGATTATCTACTTTATGCAATGCAGTTACATTTCTTTTTCAAAAATTTCTATAATTAAACTTTCAAAATACAATAATGATACATATTGTGTGGGATCATCAATGAGGGACGTCCAAATGAATTTCGATTTATACCAGAATAATTGAAGACATATGCATTTACAAAATAAATATGCAATAAAAGTTATGAATTCATTTATGTCATAAAATATGTTTATATTATAATTATCAAAAATATTGTAACTTTTTGTATTTTGATTGCGCTAAGTTTCTTGTTAGGCCAATTAGGCAACTACCTAACATTTTGCACTAATTATTTTTGGGAGGAGGCTGTCTATTTACCCGGAGGAAATAGAAAAAAAATGGAGATAATACCACCTATCTCTATATTTAGCACTATTCCAAGTCAACATGGATTACCCTTCGGTGGTGAGGTTAAGGCTGTGCTTCAATTGTTTGTTTATAATAAATTGAAGATAAGTATTTGGCTGTTCAAGGGTACTATATAGTGATTTATACATATCCCTGCCATAATTCAACTGTTAACCTATTCATCAAACTTTACTGAACTATCTTATATGCTTTGATTTTGGTAGATCTAAGAAACAGCAGGCGTTTTCGTGGAATGAAAACGAAGGAAAAGGAAAACCAAAAAGAAAAAAACGGGATTTGACCAATTCTATTTCACGTAATGTTTAATGATGCTTCAAATGGATACTTATGATGATTGTTGTGCTATTTGGAGCTGAGGTTTACATAATGGAAAAATGTACTTATAAAGGTGAGTGCAGGGTCTATTGTTGATAAGGAGCTGCTAACAACACCTATCACCTTGGAATGATCCAAGTTGGCAAAGCAAGAAAAGTCATAGTTCTGAGGTGCTTGCATAATTGTGGGTATAAATTGGTGGAGTAAAGATGTGTTTTTATAGCGTTTCAAATTGATACGAATAGACTATCAATTTTTTGCTATGTGCTATAATTTGTGTCTTTTCAATATTCATTTAGGAGTTTATTGCTTTATCCAAGTCGGGAGGTGGGGAGACAGGAGATTGGCGAAGAGCTTGGTGGCGCGTTGGTTTTTTATGACTTAAAGAATTCAGTAAACAAAGATGTAATGCTGAATTCATTCTGCGTGATAAGGATCAACGTTTCTGGAAAACATCAAGAAAAAAGAAAGGCTGAGTGCCGATTCGGGCCCAAGAATTAATTTTATATTTCTCATATATTCCAGCTTATAGTAAAATCGGTGTAGATTTTATAAGAGGTTAATAAGAAGGTGGGTAGAATTGGAACTCTGGGACATTTTTTGTCAATGTCTGCTTTGATACTATAAGAAGAAACCGGCTAACCTAAAAGCTCAAACTTATAGGCGAGGATTCATTAATACTTTATATTCTAAAACCATTTCTCTGCTGCAACAATAATCATGAAGAAAAACGCCCTTTTTCTGTTCGAAAACATTGTTTACTTCTGTTTTTGCGGTTAATTTTATTATTTCTGATGTTCTGTAGTTATCGTGGAATTCGTGTAGCTAAAGACCAACACCTGGGGGGTGCACCATGGATCTAAGTCCTTCTTAAGATCTCAAAGGATTGCTTCGCAGGGGATTTCATAGTTGGTAATACCGTGGTTGTTTGAGAGTCCAATACCCTTTCATGATAGTGGTCAAGGAGTTTTCTTGAGATATTGTGGTGCTAGCACACTTTTCGACTTTTGGAGTAACAGAAAAGAAAGAAGAAAGATACAATTAGCCGAATTAGAAAGACGTAATATTAGCAACTTGAACATTTTTGAGTATGTTTCTCCAGGTTGAATGTTCTTAATTGGACACTAATATTAAACTAACGTTAATGTTTGTTAAGTATGTTTTTCTTCCAGGTGAATGTTCTTAAATTTGCACTATTGTATAATTTTTCTTTCCTTTCCAAAGATGGGAAATGGTTTTAAAAAACTTGGCAATATTTGAATTTTTCTTTTTTTTTCTTTATGCCATGGCAGTAATATGATTACTTGAGTTCAATCTTGCGTCCTGCTAAATATGAAATCTTAAGGTCCAAGGAGTGCCAAGAGCTGTCTTGTGCTCAAGCATAATGTATTGTTAAGTTGTATATTCCTTGATTGATGATTGCAAAATAATTAGCAAAAAAAAAGAAAAAATCCATGTAGTCAATAGAAAGGCTATCATCTAATTTTAGCTTTAGTATCTTCAGAAATATTATTCGAGCAATAAATTTCCATGCAGTTGATGCATAATGTTGAGAATCATTCAAAGCTGCATTAGGTTAGGGTCTAATTTTTCAAACAAAAAATTAATTTAATTGGCAGCCTCCAGGGATGGTTTTGAAGTTATTGCTTATTCTTGTAGGTGGTGAAATAGTTACTCAGGGATTGTTTATTTGGGTTGAAGTTAGAACTTGGAATCACGGCAAAGCTCTTTCGCCTCCCTTTGTGAAAACAAAGTAGGTATATATATATATATATATATATAATAATTTAGTTTTGCTCAATCCATACCGGGGGAGAAAGAGCATGTGAGGAGGTGGTAGAATTGACTATAAAAAGAAAGCCAAGGTTTAGGTTTCTAAAACACACTTAAAAACACTTAAATGTGTTTTACATTTAGAGATTCAGAGCAGTCTTTGGAGTCCCTTGGAGTATAAAATAGTTTTGGGGTATTTTTGAGGGTGTTCTGGTAGAGAAAATATTTTGCATTCTTGATTGTAACAATTGCAATATAATGAATATTTTTTCTTGGTGGTCGTTTGGCAACGGGCCCGTGAGTGTTTCTTCACTTTGGGTAGTTTTTCCACGTTAATTATCGTGTTAATTTATTCTCTTTAAGTTTTCAGTCATTATTTTATTTTTCTCATTTGTTCCTGCTTGAAGCATGTCTGAAGGCGGTGAAAATAGCGGATTTTTCCTAATTACCAGCATATCGAAATGGAATGATTAAGCATGTTATAGAATAATAATTTTGAATGAGGTGTATTTTATTACAGATTTGACTAATATTTTACATGTAATGCAATTTTTTACATAATTAACAAAAATTTGACATTACATTAACTATTAGGTAACGCAAATATATTAAATTTAACTTATAAATTTGATATATTAATAACTAAGTCAGTAATTTACGATCAACAAACAAAAAAAAAAAAAAAAAGCCAGTCTCTATCGCTCTTCTTTTTTGTGGGTTTTTTTAGAATTTGTTTTCTAACACTGCGGACTTTTCTTCTTTCGTTGGCAGTGGTTTTTTTTTTTTTTTTAAATCAATTTCTAATCGTTTGGAACAAAAACTTGGATTTAGTTTTCTTAAAATCTCTAATGGTTGATAGATCTTAAGTGTATTTGGTACTTTTTTAGTGGGGGTTATAATTTCTCTCCTTTCATGAGGTTGTTCCTCGTTATTTTGAGGAGTTTTATTGAAAGATTTTTTGTATGTAGATCTTTTATTTCACCTGCCAGTTTGCAAAGCAAATATAACAATGGAATTGTTGGCTGCTTGTAGTTGGAAAGATCAGATTTCTCCAGTTCGGGTAAATTTTTTTTACCCATGGGAGGTGGAGTGTGGCCTCTTCTGCTAGTATATCAGTTGTAACAAATTTCCCAAGAATAAAGTTTGGAATTGTTGAAAAGTTTCTTTTGTTGTCCTATTTGAAAAACGGAAGAAGTTTTTATCTGGAAATTAACATTTTCTACCAGGATCAAGATTATGCTCTACTTCAAAGAATTTGAATGTGTGGCTATATGAAATTATATGAGGAAGGCGGTATGAGGTATTGTAGGTATGAAAAAGACTGGAAGTAAAAGAAGAGAAAGTGTTAAGGCGTTCTTTATTGTTGTCTTTTTCTAGAAAAATGAAGAGTTTTGTTGCTTAGTTTTTTTTGGTATGTGATGTGGGTCTAACTTATTTGTCAATTGAATTAGTTTAAGATGATAATATTTGATAAATGAGGTAAAGTGTTCCGAAACCTATAGAGTCGTAAGTGCGATCTCATTCAATCCGAGCTAGGAGCTCTGAAGAATCGGTAACTTGTTTGTATTTAGGAGTTGAATACATGGTATTGTTAGTAATAATCTAATCTCCGATCTGGCGGGTGAAAGAAATAATTTTCTGACTGCGAACGAGAAGAGAAATGGAAGAAGAGGATGAGTGAGCAGGTAGTTCTTTATATAAACCTTGCAACTTTCGCGATGTCCTGGTTCATTTTCCTGAATGTTTGAGTGTTTCTATGACAAAAGTGAATTAATTTGCGGTGTTTAGTGTGGATTTTAGCAGTTAAAGGTTACATATTACTCTGTGTGTTTATGTGCTTCAATGTTTTTGTAGTTTGTTAGAGGTACGTTTATGGAGCTGCGAAAGAAACTAAGTCCTTGCAAAGGATTTGCAGAAATTAAAAGAAGCTCAGTAGGGTTTGCAGATTGGTGAGATGTACAAGCAGCAACACGCTGTTCGGAATGGCGAGAGCAGACCGCAACCCTTTTACCACGTTGCCCGGTGATGGTTGGCTGAGATCCACAGATGAGTGTAGAAGAAATTGGAATATTCATTCAGAGGAGAAAGGAGTGGATTTTTGGTTTTCCCAGAAGAGTTACAATAGTAAGTCAATAGAGAGTTTAAGATGAAATCAGTCTGTAGAGTAACTAGGAATTGGTTGGTGGTATGTGTAACGAGAGGTATGCGCAGGTTGCCCTGGCGTTGTATGTGTGTGCTAGGATTTTGCTTGATTAAAAGTTCTGGGTTCTTTTCTTTCTTTTGCTATAGATTTGGAATTTTTGTTGAGTAACCTTTGCAACTTCATTTTAATGTTTCTTTGAGGTGATTTCTTGTCGTGGTCCAGGCGAATTTTTTTAGATTGAAATCCATTGTAGTTTATTATTTTATTTTGTTGAGGTTATGGATTTTCCTGGATGTTAGCGAATCGAGGTGTCGGTGTACTTGTTAAGAAGTTTGTGCAACCAAGTGGTATGTGGCCGAGTGTTGGGCAGGCCGGAAAGGTTGTGTTTAGTTAACTCACGGTGGGAACGCTGGTTGTTTAAGTGTGTTGGCGAGTATGAGTGTTCAAAGACGGTTGCGTGTGGCGAGGTTGCGAGGCATAGAGTTCACCTAAGCACGCGGACGGATGATGATGATGGTCGGCAAGACGGAACACGTCGATTTAAGTAAATGGGTGTCAAAATTGATTAGATTTTTGTAAGTAACTCTAATGTGGCCGCATAGTGGATTGAAAAGGTGGTTCTGAATGTAAGGGTGGCCTAAGATGATGGTTATTGGGGTTTTAATGGGATAAGGACCAGTTAAGGCTTTATAATACCCTTCCTCTGCCTTTTATAAAAGATAAAGAATCAAAACAAAGCTTATGGTTAGAACGGACAGAAGAAAAAAGAAAAAGGAGTCTGTGACGGCTATCTCGAAAAAACCACATACGGTGATAGGTTGTTTGGAGAGAGTGAGAAAGAAAACTCCGTAGGTTGTTCATTATTCTTCGTGGAGCCATGTAAAGGAGAGCGTTACGGATAGAAAGGCCAGAGTGAAGAAAGACACAGCATGCTACTGATTACGGTAATAGAAATCGAGAATTGGCGCAACGAAGGTAGATCAGGATAAGCCGAGGATCAAGGTCACGCTTCCGCTTATTGTATATTCCTATCAAAAAAATTCTATAAACAATAGATCTTGTTGCTATATTAAAGTTTATTCTAATGTAGTATCAGAGCTTGTACCCTGTTCTAGATTTGTTTTGATAGTGTTTTGGTTTGGCGTGTAATTAATGAAAATTAATTTCATTGTGAAGATTA